TCCCATTGTCCCGTCTAAGGGTTAATGATTCTGACACCTTAGTAATTAAGACATTCCCTCTTAGGCCTCCTTTGATTTGTAGGAATTTCATAGGAATTCTAGAGGATAGAATTCTTATAGGATTTTTTCCTTTAGAGCCCTTTGGTTCATAGGAATGGATTCCTATTCCTACATAGGATTGGTTCCTATCCTCCACATTTCATAGGAAGATAAAAATGAACCTAGACTCAATGGAAAAATTCCTTTGGTGTGAACCAAATGACATCTCGTTTCCTATTCTTACCATAGGATTTGAGTTACATGTCATCTCATTTCCTACAAATTTTCTATTCCTATGATAATCCTATCCTATGAATCAAAAGAGACCTTAAAGTTACAACTTTCCTGTCTGGACTTGTCATAATCCACAGATCTTTCCAAATACGGAATTGCTATGCACACGCTCTTCGTACATACGATGTGATGTGTCAACACGAGATAGCATGCTTCATTGGCTTTATTTTCCCGATGGAGTTGGTTGATTGGATGAAAGCACAAGCAACAGCAATCGTATGTGTTTCCGACGTGGAAATGTCGTATGTATAGCAGAACTGTTCGAAATATCAACTGAAGAGGATAGAGTGGTTTTTAAAGGAATTCTCCACGCGTGGCCCGTACCCCCTAGAATGGCCATTTGGTAGAGGAGGTTTCACGACCCAATACCCCCTTCCAATCGTCTGCTACCCTCCACGCGGAACGAGACGGGCGAGACGAGGAGCCCGCCGCCTCCTTGATACGCGCCGCCGGATCTTCGACGTCCCGCCGCCGCCTTGACGCCGGCCTCCTCCTCTGGCAGCCTGGCGTTGTCCCCAAGGTGATTCATCCCCTCTCCTCCACTCCTCCATCCCCTCGGCTACGGCCGGCAGTCCTCGTCCGACGCCGGCAGTCTTCTTGCTTCTCGCGACATCTTGCCCTTCTTCCTCTCTCCTAACCTGGCTTCTTACTCTGCTTGCGACTGGCTTCTTACTCTGCTTGCGACGAGGGAGTATGCGTGCACAGTGAGAAGACTGACACAAAGCAGAAGAGGACAAGAGATTATGGCTCCGTTCTGGAAATGTTCAATTGACACAAGAGGGAATGGGGAAAAATGGTGGTGCTAGGCCTAGGGGGTTACTTTCCCTGCACTCAACTATTTCATGACATCAGTGGTCATAGGCATTACTTACTGCTG